AAGGCAGCGGCCTCACGGGCTGCACAGGGCTACTATGTCTCTCACGGATACCGGTAATGACAGTAATTCTCGTCAGCCTGGGGAGGACTCCAGGGCAGCGTTGAACCTGCAAGCTCCCATGCTCTGGCCCCGTCTCTCCTGGGCCCGAGCAGAGATGGGGGTGCGGGCCGCCCCCACGCTGCCTCCAAGTCACTTGACGGACACCAGGGCCTGGGACACGTGTCCTGAGCGCTTCTGGACAGTGGGTGCCTGGCCTGTGGGTTTGTAGCCTGCGGAGCCTGGACCCACACGGCCCTGTTAGTCCTACCTGTCACTGTGCTCTGAGGCCCACGCCTGCCGCAGGTCAGAAAGCGCATGGAAGGACATCCCACCTCCTTCCATCCTGAGTGCACCTCCTCTCCTCCAGGAAGCTTCCCCTGACCACCCAGCCCAATCTAGGCCTCCCTGACCAGCTTCAGGGGCCGCCTACTGGGCCAGCCAGGCACCCAGGCATGTAAATTCCGGGTCCTTCACCTGCCTCTCCAACACTTGGGGTCCAGTGACTCCCTCCCCTGTGTGCTCCATCCCTGGTTTAAGGAGCCTGGACTCAGCCCTGTCTGCCCTAGTCTTTGGAGGTCCCTTATTCTCCTGGACCCTCAGTTTCTTCATCTGGGAAAATCAGGGTGACTTCACCCAGCCCTGACTCCTCTTCAAGGGCAGCCGTGAGAACCAAATGACACTGGACTTAGAGTCCCCATCAAGCACTGAGGGCCACCTGGTGCCTGGCTGTGGTGTCTGTGGGCCACGCGCACTGTCAGAACCTTGGCCCTGGCCCAGGCCATTCCTGGCATCTGCCACATCCCGCACTCCTGGTGGCTGACGGGAGGACACCGGGGCTGGGCAGAGCTCCTGGCTTCCGTCAGTGTCTGTGTGATGAGCCCAGAGGGTGTGGTTTGCCTGAGGCACCTTCTCCTCCCCACTGACCCAGGCCTCAGGGACCCCTCAGGCACCAACTCACTTCTCTTCCTTGAAGCATGTGGGTCAAAATGCCCCCATTGGGACAGAGAGCCAGCCCGACAACGCCTCCTATTGTTCTAAGCCCCATCAAAGCCGCACGTCACAGCAAGCCCCACGGCATCTCAGTCTGAGTAACGCAGGACACGTTCACGGGACCACATACAGAGCATGCTCCGTGACGCTTTATTTCCCAGCCACTTCTATTCTACCCCAATGACACATAAAAACAGTTACTGAGCAAGAAGCCTTGAGTATTTTTTATGAAGCTATAATATCTTCCATTAGAAAACAAGATGAAAGAAAGGGGGGGAAGAGTGAGGGAAAGAAGGAAGGAAGGAAGGAAGGAAGGAAGGAAGGAAGGAAGGAAGGGAGGAAGGAAGGAAGGAAGGGAGGAAGGGAGGGAGAGGGAGGCAGGGAGGAGGGAGGAGAGAGGAAGGGAAGGAGGGAAGGAAGGAGGAAAGAAGAAGGAGAGAAAGGAGGGAAGGAAGGAAGGAGGGAGGAAGGGAGGGAAGGAAGGAAAGAGGGAGGGAAGGTGGGAAGGAGGGAGGAAGGGAGGGAAGGAAGGAAAGAGGGAGGGAAGGTGGGAAGGAGGGAGGAAGGGAGGAAGGGAGGGAGGAAGGGAGGAAGGGAGGGAGGAAGGGAGGAAGGAGTTTTGCTGGACTGTCACCTGCATCGCGGGGATGGCCTGCTGGTGGAGTCCAGCTCACTCCGAGTGGAGATGTCCCCACCACTGGGATGAGCCTGAAGACTCAGGGCCGAGTGTGGATATGCTCCTCCAGGTGCCCGGTTGGGCCTTCTGGTCCCTTCTGTGACCCAGCTCACCTGCAGGCCACCCCTGAGGGCTGGGGGCATGGTCCCAGGTGGGGCCGCACTTCCAGAAAGAGTGAGTGGATGTCGGGTAGGGGGTGCTTGGGTCACAAATTGCAAAAAAGTTGATCATTCCCCAGACGGATTTCAAGTCTTTTTTTGGGGGGGGGTAGGCAAGGGACATTTATAGCGACAACAGGGCCACCACGTCTAGAACGCGTCTCGCTCTGCATCCTGCTGCTGCAGAAGGAGCTTGCAGGAGACTCCCCCTGGCCAGCTGGTCCTGACCAGCTCACGTGCTGGGGGGCCCTGGCTCCAGCCCCCTGCCACCTCGCTGTGCAGGATAGAGGGGTGATGCGGCCTGGGGGTCACAAAGCGTTCTCAGGGGTGTCAGGATGCCAGCTTACAGGTCCAACCTGGAGCTGTCCCCTGTTAGGCGCTTGCCATGTGCCAGGGGCTGGCTACGTGTGTCCGCGCAGCAGGGTATTATTTCTCGACGACAGCCCTGCGCAGTGATGTTATTACTGTCCCCACTTCCTGATGAGGAAACGGGGACGCAGAGAAATTAGTTGAACTGCCCAGAGGTACGCAGTTACCAGGTGCTTCCCTGGGGGACCCAACCCCACTATTTCAAGGGGTTAAAATAAACAGAGGGCCGATGGTGCTCATTCCCCCACTCTGGGCCACGTGGGTGCCCCGAAGGGCAATGTGGGCGACGTGCTGGGGACAGGAGCAAACGTTCCGTGACCCTGTAGGATGCCTCCCCCTGACCCAACCGTGCCCCCACTTTGCCACTTGCGGGTAGCAGTGAGATCTGTGGACCCTTCCCGGGGAGCCAGAGGCAGCCCAGAGACCGTCCGGTGTTGGAGAGAAATATATACGTATGGGGACACATTACACACCCGCAGGGCTGCTGTGGTTCGAGTGCTGGGTGAGGAGGCCTGTCCGCCCCCGCCCCCTCCCCTGCTGGCTGGGGATGCCTGGGTCTCAGTGCACCCCCTCGGGGACCCTGCAGAGCTCGCTCTGAGTGAGGAGGCCGGGGCCGGAAGGAAGGCAGGGCTCCCTCGGAACACGCTGGGGTCCAGGCCTGTATCTGGGGGAGAAGCTGTCAGGGAGCTGTTCCCTGTGACTCTCCCAAGAACGTGAGCAAAGGTGCTTCTCCGGGGCCCTGAGACGCTGCGGAGCCCGGGGTCAGCCTGGCGAGGCTGCTGGCTCCTGCCTTTTCTCTGCGGCTGCCATTTTAGCCCCCTCCTCCAGGCAGGAGGAGCGCTCTCCTGAGGAGGCAACACCGGCTGTGGACCCACAGCCCGACAAAGGGATCTAGGACTTCAGCTCAACCTCCAGGCCTTGCCCACCAGGTGGGGAAACAGAGTTCTCACGGGCACTTGTGAGGAGAAGCTGGGGCTCTGCCCAAGCAAGAATGGGGGTCTCCCTCCTCCCCTAGAAGACAGAGGGTCCTGTGACTGAGGCCCCCCTCCGCTCCTGGGCTGGGGGCTCTAGTGGGGCCAGGGCAGCCTGGAGCTAGCTCCCCAGGAGCTGGTACCCCCACCCCTGCACCCCTCTGGGCTGGCTCCACGCGGGTCCCCGTGCCATGGTACTGCGTGCAGAGGGCACCCCAGCACCTGCCACGATGGGGGGCGGCAGGGCTGGCCGAGCTCCGGGGAAGGCAGGAGGCGGAGAGCGTGGGCCTGAGAGGCCCGGAGCTGCCTCCTCTCTGGCCCTGAGGCCTGGGGCCGGGGGCCCAAAGCTGGCTGGCTGTAGCCGCTCCCTAGAAGAGAGGGTGCTGCTGGTGGCCCGGGGAGGCAGAGAGGGTGGCAGGGCTCGCCCTCTGCTGACTGGGTGACCATGGGACTTCGGACAGCCTGGTCTTCTCCTGGGCGACATGGGGCCCACGGTAAGGATCCCGTGCACTGTCTGGCCAGGATTTGGCATCCGTGGTGGCTGTGTGGTCACAGCTTCCGAGGCTCAGAGTCGTCAGGGCAGAGCTGGAACACAGACACCCACCCGTCTCCAGCGATCTAGGAACCCCCAGTCCTGGGGTACCCCCGAAGCCCCCAGGTCCTTGTGCTCACGCAGCGCTGCTCGTGAGCCCACGGGCCTCTGGGCGTGCTGCAGGGGTGGGCTGGGAAGGAGCTCCTCGCTACCTCCTCCCCAGTGAGCTGGTCTCGGCAGCCTAACAGCCCCCCGAACGGCGTTGGCAGACACACAGGGACACACCCCCTGCTCCACTGGAGCACAGAAAACATTCATTAAGCATTTTAGAGGACAAGGGCACAAAGAAAAACACTCATTAGAAGCAGAAATAGTTTCCAAATGAGCCATACAGAATCTGCTGGAAAGTCTAGCCTGAAAGGGGGCCTGTTCTCCTTGGGGTTGTGGATGGGTGAGAAACGCCCAAATGGATGGAAAGTGGGGGCCCAGGAAGGGGATGCAGGAGGCGGCAGGAAGGCCCTGTGCCTGAGCGCGAGAAGATTCCCAAGCAGGAGAGTCTGTGGGCGGCAGGGACGGAGGCCGAGACTCTGCCGTGCGGCTCACCCTGGGAGCAGCCCCGCCTCGGGAGTAGCCATGTGACCTCCGGCCCCCAGCAAGGCTCAGGGTCGGGGCGACTGCAGGGGAAACTGTGTTCAGGCCCTTGGAGGCAGAAGCAAGGAGTCAGGAGGCCTGACCCCAGCCGGCTCCGTCGCTGACCAGCTGGGTGACCCTGCGTCTGGCCCTGTCCTCTCTGGGCCTCTCTGGGCCTCCGGGTCTGCTAGGAAATGCAGCGGCTGAGCTCAGGGGAGCCTAGGGGTCTTGCCAGCTGTGACGCAGGGAGGCTGGTGTGCAGATGATGTGGCCGAGGAGGTGTCCCAGCCAGTGGCCGTGGCTTCTCAAGGTCCCAGGGCAAATCCCCCAAAGGCCCTGACCCAGCTGGGCAGATGACTTCACGTGGTGCACACCAGTCATGACAATGACCTTATGAACCTTGGGGCCTCACTCCCCTCCACTCTGGGGGAAGGGTCTGGCTCCTCACTTGTCTCCCTGCTCACATCTTAAAGTGTTTATTAGCAAAGGAGAGAGGGCAAGGTAGCTCCTTCCCCTGGAAACCAGGTCACTCCGAAACTTTTAGGGCTGCCCCTTGAACAAACTCTCCCTTACCCAGAAGCCCTCCTTCCCCTCCCTGCCCCTCCAATCCCCTTCCTCTCGCCTCTTGTCCCCCAGCCCCTCACACCCTGCTTGCTGTGAGGGGGCGTGGCCAGCAGCTGGCGGCTTTAGGGGACCAGGCTGGCTTCCCAGGAGCCGGGGGCGTTGCGGGTGGCCTGCTTCCTTGGCTCCTACCGCAGCCCCTGCCCTGACATCTTCACTCCCCCCAGTCCCTTTTCCTGGTAATTGGTGTCAGAGACAAACTTGGGCCAATTTCCATCTGGGCCAGTGTCTCGTGGCTTCTTTCCTATTTAATATCAGAGAAATTAAACCTGGCCACATCATCATTATCCTGGTGTTGTAATTAGCACTGGAACAAATTGCCCTGAGCGGCACTGGCTGCCGCAGTGGCTCATGGGCTCGTGGGGGACGGGTGCCCTGCTAATTGCTTTGGCCTTCGCTCCTCAACCTGCTACTGCCCAGCACGTACTGGGGAGCAGGACCCCTCCACCCCTGTGTACGTCCCCTCCTGTCACCTGCTCACGGAAACAGGGCGACGCTCTGGAGTGACAACTCCCTGGGGCTGGAAAGAGAAAATAAGGGGGCCCAGATCTACCCTTAAGAAACCAGTTCCTGTGATACTGGCCTTTGGGGAGAAGGGGTCCCCAGCCAGCTGGAAGTCACAAACCCAGCCGGCCATGAATCACCCCAGGTATGTCTCTAGCACATAGTGGCCAGGACCAAAGCACGGGGGAGGGGAGGGCTGGGACAGCTGTCAACCCCCTCAGCACTCCCTGACCCCCAGTTCTCTCCCGGCCCCAGAAACAAGGCAGGAGGAGCGAAATCTGAGTGAGTGGATTCCAGCTTGGAGGGGTAATGAGCTCACACCCCATGGCTGCCCACTAGTGTCTGATTCTAGGAAAGTAAATTTAGTGGAATTAAAAAGCCACCAGCCCATGATGGGATGTGAGGAGACAAGAGGAGGTGTGGGTGCGGGAGAGCAGGCCTGGAGGAGGGAGCACCCCTGAGGAGCAGAGAGCTGGGCTGCAGGGGAAGCTGGCTGGCAGGAAGCCGGCCAGAGCACTGCTGCAACAGAGGGCAGTGATCAGGCCGGGAATCAGGAGAGTGTGCCCAAGACGTGTTTTGATAGGGCATGAAACAGTAAAGGAAAAAAGCCAAAACGGGCCCTGGGGCCTTTGGAGGCCCAGGAAGGAGTTGACCGGGCTGCAGGCTGCTCAGGGTGAAAAGATTTCTCAGCAGCCAGAGTATGACCCCGGGGACAAAAGGACAGGCTCCCGCTGCATCCGATCCCTGCTCTCAAGGTGGGAGCCCCACACTCCACCCCTGCAGCCAGGTAGAAGAGAAAACCTTTCGCATTAAGACAAAAAGCATCATCCCGTGACAATACAGGAGGCCCCTTTCACAACAACGCGAGGCCGAGCAATTAGGAAACCGGTCCTTCTAGGCCAGCCTCCTGGGGAGACAAACCCCGGAAACTGACAAGAGGGCAAGATGTCAGGGAAGCCGTGTCTTTGCAAATCAGCACATCCTTGGACAGTCTCAGGCATCATCCGCTAATGAACTTGCTGAACCACAGACAATTATTTCTGGAACTAAGGGAGAAGGGCAAGGGCTTGGAGGCAGGGGCTGGGCTGAACCTCCATGTCCACACCGAGATGGCTCTGGGCCGCGATGCCTTCCAGGCCACCTTCCTGGGGACCAGCGGCCCCTCTGCCCTCTGGCACGTGCAGCCCTCTGCTCCCTGAATGCACGCCGTGGCATTGGGAGCTTGTTTTCCAATCTGCCAGACCCCTCCCAACCGCACCGCTGAACCAGGGAGATCCTCCAGCCCCTGGGGCCCAGGGGTTGGCTAACTTGAACCTCGATGGGTGCAGAAAGTGGAACCACAACGGGAAAGGTTAGAAGCCACAACACCTGGGGAGAGGCAGTAGGAAGAAATCGGGGCAGCGGTGCCTGGCCCACGGGGGCTGGGGCCCACAGAGAGCGGCTGCAGATCAGAGGACCCCTGTCCAGCCCGGCAGATGGATCCCTCGGACCTTCCCACTCACACGGGAGCACCCTCTCCTCGGCAGGATGACCACCGATGACCACCAGCCGGGGAGAGGCTGGGCGGCCACGGCGCTGAGCCCGGCCTGACCCAGCCAACTGCACACAAGCACCCCGGACACAGAGCTGGCAGCCAGGCCACCCTGATGGGGCCTGGGGGCTCCTCCACCCCCTTCTCCGTCCCACGGCAGGGCAGACATCATAAACTGACTGCCAGGCTCCTTCCTGCAGAGCCGCGGGCTCCTCCTCGCCCAACAACCATTCCAATCAATCCGACTGTCACTGGCGTGCCTCCGAGAGCCGATTTTCCACAGGTGCCAACGACCGACTAACCCGCAAGAGAAAATGACTGTACAGCTCTCAGCCCACAGGCAATTTGCAGTCAGGAGCAGGATGCTCAGCCTTACTTCTGTCCTCATCAAGAGGAAACTGAGGCACCCCGGAAGCCCCTGGTGGGGTTTTATTCTCCTGGGGCAGGAAAGACCGGCCCCCCCACCAGGCTTCTCCCCTTCCTGGCACCTGACGACGCACCAGGCCAGCCACACACCGACACCCCGAGGAAAGCTCGCCGGGGCGCCTCGGCCCCAAGCCACTGCACACAGGAGCCCCACGCCCGCGCAGCTCCCACAGACATTCCCCAGCACCAGAGACGGAAGAAGAATCTCCCAGCCACCTACCTGAAGGAGCCAGTAGCACCTCCGGTGGAAGGTGGGGATGATGGAGGAATGGACATAGCAGCCGTACAAGCACTAGGGAGAGAGGAAAAACGAGAATTCAGTTGGAAAGAGGGAAGGAAGGAAGGAAGAAAGACGGCGCAACAGAGGAGGAAGGAGAAAGGGTCACGGACACTGCCGGCGCCCTGGGAGGCTGAGCACGGACGCCTCTGGGCCTGGCTCCAGGGCCGGGCCTGGGTCCGTATCTAAGAAGCACCGCTGGGAAAGGCTAGCTGGCAGACACTAATGGACAGCTGGGGTGCTGTCCCTCTGGGGGGCCTTGGAGGCATGTGAGAACCCAGAAAAGCCGGGGACCAGGGGAATGCACATATGTATACATTTTGCCTATAATTATAGGGGCTTGGAGTTACCCTGAAGTTCATTCACAGAGCCTAGGTTAAGACCCCTCGGTGTACAGGGAGGGACTGAATGTATCTGGAATTGATTCAAACATGCACGCACGCACACATGCACACTCATGCACACACACCACACTCCAGATCTTTCCTGGTCAAGGGCATCATGCCAGGCAGGCGAGGCAGCCCTGGCTGGCGGGACCTCTGAAGCTAGTGGCGGACGGGTGGGGGGCAATGCCTCCTAGGACTGACCTCCAGAGTCTGAGAGGCCCCTCATGCACACCCCACTTGCTGGCTTTTATTTAGTTTGTTCATTCATATTTTTTGTTTGTTGTAAGGTTAAAGCTGCATTTTTGGCAGATGGATTTGGAGAATCAGGTGGGGGTGTGTGTGTGTGTGGGGGGGACAGTGAGGAGGGACACTTGGACCCGGGTGGCTGGAGCTTCCCCATGTATATGCACACAGCACTGGACACCGTGGGGACAGGCTTGTAGGCGGAGGTGGGCAACGGGGACCAGTAAGGAGAACGGTCCTTCAGGTGCCTCTCAAAACCCAACTCTGAGAGTCTCAGGGGGACAGGATTTTGCCTTTTCTTTTGTAGCCTCCAATTCCAAACCAGAATGCTCTCTTTCCATCTCCTGCAGAGTTACCCTGGCTTCCCAAAGCACACATTCCTGAATCGGTGGGGCAGAAAGCGAAGGCAGGGCCCCAGAGCCTCGCAGGCCAAGGATGAGCAAGGTCTCCCCTTGACCTCTCATTGCTCATTCGAACCTCACCATAGCGCCCCCATGCCCGCCCCCCTCCCCCCCCCCCCCCGGGGCTGGTTCTTCTAGGAGTCTGCTCAAGCCCTGCCTGTCTGATTAGCAGAGTTGAAAGAGAAATCAGTTTGGACTATGGGATTCTGGCTGTAAGAAAATCAGATTTCCAATACGTTAGAACTTTTACAGATCGCTGTCAGCTGGGACTAAACCCTGTATAAACCAACCAAACAAAGCGGAAATTAATTTAAACGATTCCTTGCAATTCTTGCCCACAAAAATGTACTTATTATTAAGAAGGCAATATTCTTTCCTGACTTTTCTGGTTTTGAATACACCACGTTTTCTTTTTTTACTTTTATTTTCGATTACTCACTTCTTCTTGCCGAAGGAGAGCCCTGTTTGGACAGTTCCTGTGAGTGTTTGTTTGCCACGAATGAGCAGCCCACCTGCAACTTTAATCAGCTTTTTTCCTTTGGAATTTGCACATTCTCATGGGCAGTTTCATTACTCTTACTCATGTAATGAGCCAAATGGAGAGAGACATAAATTGTTGAGAGGAGAACTCTCTCCTGTCTCTTTGAAATAAAAGGCTGCACATCTGCTTTTTCCCACTGTTCGTTCCTCTTGAGGGTTTGCAGACCTCCCCCCCTTTACCTGTCTCCTTTTCTTTCCACTGCTTTTTCTCGAACTTGAAAAGAACGTGGTTGATGGGCAACTCCATTCCCCGCCCCCCCGCCTCCCCGTTCACTGCTTATCTGCCCGGGTTGAGCTGCAGCCCAACACCTACTGTGTATCCCAACACCTACTGTGTATCCCTTCTGAGAGCCCACAGGAAGGAGACAGCACATGCCCGCTCTCCCCTGAGCCACCCCAGCACCTGTGGGCAACCTGCCTGCCCAGAACTGCCCAGCACCATCCAATAAGCAGGATGATGATAAGAAGAAACATCGCTGTTTCTACAACAAGGCTCATGCATTTGAATCAGAGGAATGCCCAGGGCCTCACTCAGAACCTAGTCACTCTGTTTTTAGATATGACTCTAACCACCCTGGTGATCCGATGTCTCTGGTCTCCACAGATGAGAAGCATGATCTAGGAAGGCTGGAGAGAGGAAAAGCAGACCCCTGGCAAGAGCGAACCATGTCAAATAGCATCCAGGGAGGAAGGAAAAGCCTCCAGAGAGCCCCAAGGACTCAAGGAGCCCAAGGACATTGACCCCCTCCCCCTGTTGCCTAGCTCCCCATGACCTCCCCATGACGCTGGGTCACCCCCCCCCCCGGCTCCCTGCCCATCTGTAGTCCCAGAGGCAGGGAGCCTCAGATCCTCTGAATGAAGATGGCTAACAACCGCCCCACCGGTCTCCACAGGAAAGTACTGGAAAGACCTGAAGTCAGTAAATATCTCATTTTTGCTTGTGGTATTCTGAAGGCCCGGGTCTTTAAACCACGTACTAGAAAATCATCCTGGAAAACGGCTCCACATTTAGTGCTTAAAGGGCAAAGCTTCAGTTTTAGGGAACTCTGAGTTGTGTTGAGTAGCTGGTTTACTGTGCTTATGGGGAAGGAAGCTTCCAGCAATCCACTCTTGGTGAGCTGGAGTCGGCAAAGAGGGGCTTCTGGAGAAACAGGTCCTACTTGGGGTGGGGGACCGGCTGGGAGGGTCCTTGTCCTTCTAGGCTGTGAAAAGGGCACCTTCCTCCTCCTGTCTCGTGGGTGGCTGTGAGGGTCAAGAGCCGATGCTCAGGTGGGATGCCCAGGAGAATCCCAGAGGACAGTGGGAGAGGGGGCCGGAGGGGCTGGGGGCTTTAAGATGAGCACGGTTGGCTGAGGGAAGAGTGGGGGAAGGAGTGTCAGTTCAGCAGCAGGAAAAGCAGCTGGGGACGGGAGGTGAGACAGAGGCTGGCTTGAAGATGATGGGAGGGATTAGAGTATGACAGGCAAGGCCAGGCATGGGGAGGGCCCAGGTCGGGGAGGTCAGGTCTGCTCACAATAGCCGTGGGGGCCACAGCCAGGAGCTTGACTTTGTCCTGGGACACCATGATCAGATCTGCCTTTCGGGAGACCACAGCGTGGTCGGGGAACAGAGCTGAGGAAGATGAGGGGCACGGGGCCAGCCCTGTGAGCCCGGAGGCCCACTGGCCCCGGACGGCGGTGGCAGCAGGACGGGTGTGGAGAAGTGGCCACGCTTGCCTGGTATAAGGACGACACCCAGCCTCCAGGCTGCACACACAGGTGTGTGTGTGTTGGGGGGGGCAAGTGGTCCCGTGCCCCAGGACAGGAGACCCTGGGGGTGCAGCAGCCTGGTGGGGGAGAGGTTGATTTCACACTTCTGCTCAGTGAGGTTGAGGAGCTCGTAAGCCATCCAAGTGGAGACACAGGGTGGAGTAAGGTGCTCGGTCTGGGTTGGAAGCAGCAATCGGGGAATAGGGACGGCGTTGGAAGGCAACAGAGAAGCCCGGAAGGGGGTGTCCATCCAGGTTGGCTTCTCCAGCACAGAGCCAAGCCTTCAAATGGTCAGAGCAGGGGTGAACTTGCCTACGCTCAGCACGTGACTGGCTTGGTTTGCCCTGGGACTGGCACCCTGGCCCTCTCCCCTTTCGTTCACGGTGCACCCCTGGCCAGCCCCACAGCCCTGATCCCAGACTCTCTTGCCAGGTCCCTTTGTCCCCATGTCCTCACTTTGCAGCTCTTGGTCCACGACAATGTCCTCACCAAGCCCCCTGGGATTAACTGCACACTATTTCACGAGGCAGCGTACCAAACCCATTCTTTTACCTACTAATCAAAAAAGCAATCAAGTTTATCTGTAGTGATCTGTGTTTTACAAACTCCTGGTGCTTTCTGATCAGGCCTGGGGCTCCCCTCGGGGCTCCGTGGGTTGAGCTTTTCGTTTGGGGGCCATGATGTGGTTTGGAGGGAGAGTCACTTCCCGGGGCTGGTGGATACACCTGTGTGTGCGTGCATCAGCGTGAGGTGTGGGCACACAGGTGTGGGGTGTGTGCAGGAAAGCGTGTTGTGAGCCCCTTGTTGATGTATGCACACAATGAGAGAAAAATAGAAGGCAACTAGCTATTTATAGGAAACTCGGGAGAACCCCACTCCTAGCTGGAAACAACTTTCAAATTCGTTATATTTGCGGGATTAAGGCCTGACAGCTTCCCTTGAACATGACAGCTGAGCAGGGAGGAATTTCTTTCTTAAATACTCAGTATTGCTTTTATGACACTATGGGGCTTTTTTTCCCCCTTCTTAAATAAAAAGGAAAGATAAATTTACAGGGAAACCAATAGTAAACAGGAACTCCCTTTAACTCAAAATAAACGCTTCCTATAAAGAAGGGGCACATTGGCTGCAAATCTTCTCTGGAGGATTTCTCCCCAACAGACTCAGCTGCTGGGGGTCCCCCCACGTGCCAGACGGTCTGACAGGCCTCAACACCCGATGGCCTCAGTGGGCGAAAGAGGGGAGCACCTCTGCATGATAAGCAAAGCTTTATTGGTTGGAGTACTGGGACACCACCAGGTGCCCCTCCTTTCTGTCCAGCTCTCAATGGCTTCATGTGACCAGCCAATTCTCCACCTCTCCCTCCCTCCCTCTCCTCCTAGGAAAAGCTCAACCCTCTGTGGTCCCCTCCACTTTCCGATGGGGCTCCAGAACATGGATGCGCTGTCCCCAGGCTGACCTTATATCTCCCATTCCCGCACTTCCCTCCCGTGCTCCCACTCCTGTGCAACACCCAGCCCGAGTGCATCTAGGTCCTTCCTCTCCCAGGAAGCCCCTCCTGACCAGGCCAGTGGAAGGCATCTAGGAAAGGGACTCCCAGGGTCCTGGCAGCCATGAGGCTGCAGATTCTGCCCCAGGTGTGATACACACCGTGACTGTTGTCTGCGGGCCTGTCTCCTATATCACAGGGCTGGCGC